GTCCCCTCTGTCCCCCTGTCCCACTATCCCCAACATTCCATGTCCCCCATGTTCCACTGTCCCCAACATTCCATGTCCCCTCTGTCCCAGTGTCTCCAACATTCCATGTCCCCAACATTCCATGTCCCCCATGTCCCACTGTCCCCAACATTCCATATCCCTTCTGTCCCACTGTCCCCAACATTCCATGTCCCCCATGTCCCAGTGTCCCCAACATTCCATGTCCCAGTGTCCTCAACATTCCATGTCCCCAACATTCCATGTCCCCCATGTCCCAGTGTCCCCAACATTCCACGTCCCCTCTGTCCCAGTGTCCCCAACATTCCACATCCCTGTATCCCCTGACCTGCTCCAGGTATTCTCGGACGATGCCGCCGATTCCGAGTCCTCCCGTGGCGGCTCCGGTGACGGATCTGGATCTGGTGATGGATCCGGTGACGGCTCCCAGCTCCAGGCTGTGGATTCCCTGGGCCGGGATGTCCCTGAGGAGCCTCCGCAGCCCCTCCAGGCCCAGGGGGTTGTAGGACAGGGCCAGAACCCGCAGCGGGGACGTCCCTGGAACAGGGGACACCAAGGGGGCACCAAGGGGTCATTCTCAGGATTTGGGGTCACCGTGGGGTCACTGTGGGGTCATTCCCAGGATTTGGGGGCTCGGGGTCACCAGGGGGTCACCACGGGGTCATTCCTGGGATTTGGGGGCTTGGGATCACTGTGGGGTCATTCCCGGGATTTGGGGTCACCGGGGGTCACTGTGGGGTGATTCCCGGGATTCAGAGGCTCGGGGTCACTGTGGGGTCACTGTGGGGTCATTCCCAGGATTCGGGGGCTCGGGGTCACCGCGGGGTCACCGCAGGGTCATTCCCAGGATCTGAGGTCAATGGGGGGTCACTGTGGGGTCATTCCCGGGATTTGGGGTCACCAGGGGGTCACTGTGGGGTCATTCCCGGGATTTTGGGTCACCAGGGGGTCACCACGGGGTAATTCCTGGGATTTGGGGCTCAGAGTCACCAGGGGGTCACTGTGGGGTCATTCCCGGGATTCGGGGTCACTGGGGGTCACTGTGGGGTCATTCCCGGGATTTGGGGTCAAGGGGGGGTCACTGTGGGGTCATTCCCAGGATTCGGGGGCTCAGGGTCACTGCGGGGTCACTATGGGGTCACTGTGGGGTCATTCCCAGGATTTGGGGGCTCGGGGTCACCACGGGGTCATTCCCAGGATTTGGGGGCTCGGGGTCACCACGGGGTCATTCCCAGGATTCAGGGACTCGGGGTCACTGTGGGGTCACTGTGGGGTCACTGTGGGGTCATTTCCGGGATTTGGGGCTCGGGGTCACCACGGGGTCACAGCGGGGTCATTCCCGGGATTTGGGGTCACCGCAGGGTCATTCCCGGGATTTGGGGCTCAGGGTCACTGGGGGGTCACCGTGGGGTCATTCCCGGGATTTGGGGTCACTGGGGTGTCATTCCCAGGATTTGGGGTCAGTGTGGGGTCATTCCCGGGATTTGGGGTCTCACCTGGGATGGGGAAGGTCCCCCCGAGGCCGCAGCCCCGCAGGTTGAGCGTGGCCAGAGCCGGGAGCGCCGGGAGCAGCCGGGACACGGACACGGAGCCGGACATTCCCAACGGATTCAGGCTCAGATCCAGCTCCTGCAGGCTCTGCCGGGACACACGGACACCACGGGGTCAGGGGGACACACGGACATGAGGGGGTCGGGGGGGAACACACGGACAGGGAAGCGTCAGGGGGGGACACACGGACATGGGGGGGGTCAGGGGGGACACACGGACATGGGGGGGGCAGGGGGGACACACGGATAATGGGGGGGTCAGGGATGGACACACGGACACGGGGACAGGGGGGACACACGGACATGGGGGGGCAGGGGGAACACACGGACACGGCGGCGTCAGGGGGGGACACACGGACACGGGGGGACACACAGACACAGGGGGGTCAGGGATGGACATGGGGGGGACAGGGATGGAGAGAGGGGTCAGGGATGGACACACGGACACAGGGAGGGACACATGGACACAGGGGGGTCACGGGGAGACACATGGACACAGGGAGGGTCAAGGAGGGACACACAGACACGGGGGAGTCAGGGATGGACACACGGACACAAGGGGGGGGTCAAGGATGGACAAAAGGGTCAGTGAGGGACACATGGACACAGGGGGGTCAGGGAGGGACACACAGACACAGGGGGGAAGTTTGGGAACAGAGGCAGGATTTAGGGACCCCAATGTCAATATTTAGGGACCCCAAGGGCCGTATTTAGGGCAGTATTTAGGGTTTGATCCCATACCTGCATCCCCCCTGTTCCTGGTCCCAGTATCCCCTGTGCGCTGAGCCGGTTCCCCCCAGGTCGAGCAGGATTTAGGGTGAGGATTCAGGTACCCCAAGGTCAGTATTTGGGGTGACCCCAATGTCAGGATTTAGGGCAGTATTTCGGGTGTGATCCCATACCTGCATCCCCCCTGTTCCTGGTCCCAGTATCCCGCGTGCGCTGAGCCGGTTCCCCCCCAGGTCGAGCAGGATTTAGGGTCCCCAAGGGCAGGATTTAGGGACCCCAAGGTCAATATTTAGGGTCCCCAAGGTCAGTATTTAGGGTCCCCAATGTCAGTATTTAGGGTGACCTCAAGGTCAATATTTAGGTTCCCCAATGTCAATATTTAGGTTCCCCAAAGTCAGTATTTAGGGTAATCCCAAGGTCAGTATTTAGGGTGACCCCAA